GCCCAGTTGTACAAAATACACTAAACTTTCAGTGATGTCACGGCTTTTGAATTGTAAGTCTGAATTTAATATCTCTGTAACATGTTATGATCGTATGTTGTCCATAATTACGGACATGTTGCCAGAAGGTGCACAGTTAGAGGATTCATTTTACAAAACAAAGAAAATGTTAAGCAGTCTTGGTCTTGGTTATATGAAGATACACACGTTTGACAATGGTTGCATGTTGTACTAGAAAGAAATTGAGAATTTGAAAGAGTGTTTGAATTGTGGTAAGGAATGATATAGAGAGAAACCGTCTAGATCAGGAAATAAGGTGCCACACAAGGTATTGCGATATTTACCTCTAATACCTAGGCTACAAAGATTGTGTATGTCAAGGCATATTGTAAAGCAGATGATATGGCATTCGAAAGATAAATATACGAGTGGAGAGATGTCACATCCAGTACGTGATGAGGCATGGAAGAACTTCGACACAATTTATCCAGAATTTGCCCTTAATCATCGTAATGTGCGTATAGGTTTATGCACTGATGGCTTTTGTCCTTTCAATAGAAATTCTAAGCCATACTCGTCTTGGCCAGTAATTATCATTGTGTATAATCTCCCACCTTGGATGTGTATGAAAAAAGATAACATGATTCTGAGCATGGTTATCCCAAGTCCTAAAAGTCCAGGAAAAAATTTAGATATTTATTTACGTCCTCCGATTGGCGATTTGAAAATTTTATGGGAAGGAGTTGAAACTTATGACATATATACGAAGCAAAATTTTCAAATGAAAGCATCTTTGATGTGGACTATTAGTGATTTTCCTGGAAACGGCATGTTATCTGGATGGAGTACATGTGGTCCAATGGTTTGTCCATATTGCATGCATCTAACTAAATCCTTCAGACTTAAACATGGATGTAAGAGCTATTTTTTTATTGTCATTGTCACTTCTTACCAAAAGATCATCAGTTCAAAAAACAACGAGACAAGTTTATGAAACATACAATTGAAAAGGATGCGACACCTCCTTGATTATCAGGTGATCTTATTCGACGTATGCTTGAGAACCTTCCTGACATTCCTTATGACAAAGCATCTAGTAGACACGAAATTGAAGGTTTTGGATGTAACCATAATTGGGTAAAGAAAAGTATATTTTGCGAATTACCTTATTGGCATACAAATCTCATACGCCACAACTTAAGATGTGATGCACATTGAAAAAAATGTATTTGATAATGTGTTTAACACAGTTATGGACATAAAAGGAAAAACAAAGTATAACGTAGAAGCAAGGATGGATTTGGAGATTCATTGTAACTGGCCGGAGCTTTACTTATTTAGAGATGGAAACAAAAAAAAAAAAAACTTATAAGCTAAAGGCCTCTTATACTTTGACAAAGGAGCAAAAAATGAATGTATGTGATTGGATTAAAGGATTAAGAATGCTAGATGGTTATTCTTCTAACATTGCTCGTTGTGTTAAGGGTGATGGTGAGTTTTATGAGATGAAGAGCCATGATTGTTACATCTTTATAAAAAGATTGATTCCAATAGCATTTAAAGATCTATCGCCAAAACCAATTTGAGAAGCATTAACTGAACTTGATCATTTTTTTAGAGATATATGCTCTACTGTTTTAAGAGTACAAGACAAGGCAATATTGTTGTAACATTATACAAATTGGAAAAGATTTTTCCATCAGCATTTTTTGACTCAATGGAACATTTGCCAATTCACTTAGCATATGAAGATAAGGTAGGAGGTCTTCTGCAATATCGATGGATGTATCCTTTTGAGAGGTAACGTGTAAATTATTAGCATTATCCATTCCATACAGTAATATGTATATTAACGTATACATTTCAGGTACCTGTTTCACCTAAAAAAGAAGATAAAAAATCAAAATCATGTTGAGGCATCTTTAGTAGAAGCATATCTTGTAGAGGAGACACCTAACTTTTGTAGGTTATACGTTAACTCAAATGTTGAAAAAAGGTTGAATCGTCCACCAAGGAATGATGATGAAATGTCTGTTAATCCGCTAGGAAGACTATCAATTTTTACAAAGTTCGGTCGATTCCTTAGTAATAAGGTTCCAACTATAAAGTTTATTAAAGACGAAGAGCTACAAGCAGCATCACTGTATGTGCTATTAAACTGTGAAGACATTATCCCTTTTCTGAGGTATAGGCTATATTAATAATCACTATATATTTTCCCGAATCGAATTAGTTACACTATCTTTTACATCGTGATCTTATTTCTAAGAAGTTTGATGAACATATGAGAATGGATTATCCTCAGCTATCTGATGCACAACTTGATCAATTACGTGACAACCGCTTTCCCCATCGGTTAAAAGAATATGTAAGACGCTCAATATTATACATATAACCTACATAAGCTAATAGTAAACACATTTCGTTTTCTTAGGTTTTGGATGATCAGAATATGGTGGACTCAGAAGAAATGAACATCGCTTTGGGTCCTTCTTGTAAAGTAAACTGTTACAATGGATACATTGTGAATGGTTTCAAGTTCCATAGTTTTGAATACGGTTTGGATAAAACGACTATGAATACGGTCAGAAAATGATGATTGCAATACATTGATTGAACTTCCATTCCAAGAGGATCAATCACCAAATATAAGCCACATTTAATAGCTCCAGATTTAGATCATGAAAATTTAGTTCGAGATAATGTTTTTCGGGAACAAGTAGAAGTAGGGGAGAGTAGTGACATTGTGAACTCTCACATGCTTAATACAAAAGAAAGCTCACATGAACAAGATGATATACACGAGGTAGACGATGACACTAATAACTCTACATCGAATCCAAGTGAAAATGCAATGATGAACATGTACGCTTGCAACCATTATTATTTTTGTGTTTCTTATGTTCTCTTTACTTTAGAAAAATATTCATTTAATTTAGTATTATTATATTTAATTTTTGTTCCGTCATATTTTGAATTGGCTTTGCTAGCAGGAGGACACGGACTAGAGGAGGTTATAAATCTAGTCAATCAAGTTATGAGAGATCCACAAGGGGTAGTGGTAGGAGTTCTACACGCGGCAGTTATCGATTTCATGAGGCTAATATTTCCAATTATGATATGGAAGATGAGGATATAGACGAACCATTGTACCAAGAAGATATGCCATCTAGATCTAATAATTGGGCTAGGGGTGATATGTAATTTCAAATATATATTTATTATGCACTGTAAAATATGTGTGTAAATTAAAAGAAATTAACAGCTTGGCAACAAATTTAACTATTATAGTTTTGAATTGATTTTGCAAGCACTATGTCCCCGACTAATGGAGGATATTCTGGTCAACCAAGTCAGCAGAGATCTATACAACATGGTGACAGGGATTTGCGCATGATGGATATGGTAATCGTGAGGTTAATATTTCCAATCATGAGGTCGAAGATGAGCACATGGATGATGAACTTTATCAAGAAGATATGTCTCGATCTAATAGGCCCAAAGGTGATAGGTATATTTAATTATCCATCTTTCAAATGTACTTGATATTGCTTAGTAAGATATAAGGACGAAATTGGACTTACTAAAGGAAATAATTTATCCAAAGAGGAATGATGATGGGGGAAGCATTCTTGCCTGTACAATTTCTTCTATCTTAATTAAAACCATGGATGAGATTTTATTAGCTACAAGTTGCTTTTCTTCACATTTGTATTTGACTACAATCATTGTTTATAAACTAAAACATTGATCAAATACAAATGTAAGCACAAACTTTGATAGTATTAAATCAATTTACTTGGCATGCAGGATGTCGCTATCTAGAGGAGGAAATACATCTAGTCGAGCAAGGCAGCGTAAATCAAGACGTGCGGGTGGTACAAGGTCTATACGGAGCAATAATGAATATCATGATCCTAATGCTCTCAATAATGAGTTGGGAGGTGAGCATGCAGACGATTTGCCCAGAGCTAGTAATAGGACCAGGGGTCCTAATCGTGATATTCCTATGCCTATTGATTGATGACAACATGTTGAAATAGCTATTAAAAATAGCTCGTAAGTATACATTTATTTTCAGTTGATTTTATATTTTTAGAAACATACTTGTTGGTTTTTTGTAATTGGAGAAGAACTTTGCTAAATGTTAAACAATTGAAACTAATTATTAAGTGATGGTGAAAAAGATGATATATTTATTGTTTGTTTGTTTTAACAGCTAATATTTATATGTACACATGGTGAGATGTCTCAACCTCAAATCACAAGTAAAATGACAAACAGAATGAGAGCTAATTTATGAAGAAAATCAAGTTAAGTAGTTGTTATGAGAGGGCATGAATGTTTCATGAACTCATTCAAGATTAGTGAGTAATGCACTAAAGTTGAGGCATGTTGATGTTAAGACTCAAAAAGCTAAGATATAGGGATTAATGTTAAGAGAAACATAGAGATGAAGCTGCCATATCTCACACTAGCAATGTTCAAAACATATGTAAACTCGTCATATTTTATTTTGATTGTTAGACCAATCAATGCCCTTTTTCTTTCATAAGTTGTAGTATTTTCTTCTTTTATTTAAAATATAGCAACTTGTGGTTAAATATGATAACATTTATTACATGGATGTTTTTTAAAGAAGATAACATATTCCTATGGTTAAAGATGATAACATTTAAAGATTTCATGTTTCTTATGTGGTTGTGTAACTTATCGACTTTTTCTTAATCATGTTTTTTCTATTATTTAAGAAGTTTTGGTGAAACTTCCGTACCCCGTGACATCACCGCAACCACGAAAGCTTAATTTGATGGTCCATACCCCCACATTTTGCTCGATGCAACAACCCATAAGAGATGGTTTATGGGATCGATTTATGGTAATTATTATTTATTATATTTGGAAATTTTTTATATTCATTAGGTTCATGAATTGATTTTTTCTTTATATACAACGATAAATATGGATGGCCGACTCTGAACACCTACGATGTGTATGACATGTGGAAAGTCACAGTGAAGGATAGATATAGAGCTATGATGAATGATGCTCGCGAGAAAGCAAAGAGTACAAGTCAATCAGATAATCCTACTGATTGGAAAGGACATGGCCCACATTGGATAAGAGCAAAGCATTGTGATAGTCTTGTAAATTATTGGAATACTGAAAATTGGAAAAAAAAATGCGAAGTTGCCAAGAAAAATCGTCTTGCACAAGGACAAGATGGTGAAAGGAAAAAGCATATTGTTGGTTTAGTCACCTTTGTGATTACTAAGAAGAGATTGGTATGTTTATTTCATACTATTTCTATTTGTGTTTTAAAGTTCATGTGTATTTTTAATCGATTGTTATTAATGAGTTTCATAATTTAGGATAAGGATATGATCGTCCAATATCCCAATTAGAGTTTTTTAGTCATGTTCACAGGAAGAATCACAGACTTGGCGATTTTGTTGATAAAAAATCCAAGCGAGTTCATGTAAGTACAATTAGAGTTCATGTACTTCATAGTTTGTTCATATAGTTAGTAAGTTTTTTTTTTCATAGGATACTTATAAGACTGCAATCGAGTCCAAGTATGGTACTGTTAGGAATAATCAACCTGAGTTCGATCTTGATTCATGGATTGATGCTGTCAACGGTCCATCTAAAGGTCGTGTTTATTGGTTTTGCCCTAGACAACTTGTTTCACCTGTTCTTGGTATACCTACTTCACCTAGACATTCAATACTTGCACATGATGAAAAGATGAATAATTTGAAGTCAGAACTAGCAATTGCACAAAATACAATAGATGAGAACAGCAAAAGGATTGATGATCTTACCGTACGTCTTGAACGAGTTGAAAGAAATCAAAAGATTAAGATGCGAAAAATAGTGTGAAGCATGCTCAGGGAACTAAATATTCCTAATTTTCAATTTCCTTCTAGCTCGGGATTACAAAATGATGATATGTGAGACATGATATATGAAATTTGGAATTTCGATGTAATAATTTAATCTATTAAAGCTTTAGTGTATTTTGAATAATTTGATTATTTAATGCTTTTTGAAATTAATAATCATTAATTAGTGGGTTGTATAAATTTTTAATTATTTTTATTAAAAAATAATAAATTAAGATTCTTCAGCGGATTTTCCATTGGTATTGAAGTATAAAATAGTCATCATGTTCATTGAAATGCACCTCACATTGCCTCAATATATTACAGTTGCACACTCACTTTATGTACAAAAATTTAAAGAATAAAGAACAAAACTATTTAGCTGAAAAATTTGATACCTCTAAATGTAGCCTAATTGGTTAGAGTAATTATAAAGAAAAAAATTGAGTCATGAATATAAGATTTATCTAAAATTCATTTAAGACCACTATTTTCGACCTAGCGCTTTTAATAAAGCCGTCTTCATTCGAACCAAAGTGAATATAACTATTGGAGATCAATTAATGCAATGTCGATGATTTTCATTTAATGAAAATCTCATTCTATGTTATGCTTCAAAGTATTAAATATCAGATTTGAAAGGCTGAAATCAAATAGGTCAAATGGAAACCGCTAGACATTGGATGAATGTATGAAGTTAGACACAGATGGCTCCTTAAAAGGTAACCCCATACCGAGTGGAACAAAAAAGCTTGATGGAATGAAGGGGCCAATGGATCGTAGGACTCTCTATCCACATTTTCATCTTAATGAAAGAAAAAAGACGAAAAAATCTATTAGATTTAAAACAACTTTTTTGATAATCAAAGGGTCGAGAAATTCAACTCCACTCCACTATGCTTGAACAACTTGGACTCTACCTTCTTTTTGCACCGTAATGGATATTAAAATAATTGTCAAAATTTGATTCAATTGTCAACTGCCCCTATCGAAGATAGGATTGACTAGTTACATTTTCCCCCCCTTAACAGTTCTTATGAGGTGCAAATTTAATTGCCCAAGGGTAAAAATGCATAAAAAAAACAACTCTTAACCTACGAAAATGTGTATCCTAAAACTGCAGAAGTTAGACAGCCAAAAACTGGGAATTAAACCCTACGCGCATCGAACAGGCAACCTTTTAATCTGAAATCAGACGCACTACCATTGCGCCATGGATTTTCAAAGTTTAGATCTTTAGTAACATGAATGTTATTGAAAATGTATAATTAATTTAAAAATGAAGATATATATAACCATCTGTAGCCTGGTCCCTAATGTTTCCTTAATATGTGTTTAGCCTTTTCAAATTATTTTAATTTTCATCTAACCATCAAATTAAGTCTCGATCTCGATCTACTACTTGCACACATTTTGAAGTTTTTTTAATCAAATTTAATTCCTTTTCAGGCTGAAGCAACTTGATAAATACGTAATTGATAATACCAACCTTTTAAAAATAAAATATCTAATTTAAAGTGAGAAGAGAATATACATATTTTCAGCTACCTCATTCCACCTATTTTACATCATTTTGCCTTCACCTTGATCAATTGTGTGCCTAGTTACTTCTAATTTTCTGAAAAGATATAAATTATTTATATAGGGAATATGATTAGTCCCAGTTTCTATTTGGTACACAATTTAAATCTAACCATCAAAATAGTAAATACATTTAAGGGATTGTAACACATATTGGACATGGACATGTTTTTGGATTGTAAAAACATTAATATTCAGGTAGTGATGATAATACACATTCCAGCTTTTAAAAATAAAAAGTAAAGAATTCACATAATCCATCAGTTTGGCTAAATTCCTTCCCTTTTCTTCATTTGTTTGGATAATACCTATGGTTGTGAAGTGGAAATGGGTTTCTGAATCATAGGGTAAATAAATGAATCATGCAATTTTGCCTAATTGAATGCCTAATTTGTAGTGCAATCACTGACATATTGTCCAATACTTAAAAATGCATTATAATTTCACTGGATAATGTGTGAAAGTGACCCCACTGACACATTAATTGGTGTTAAGTATTAGTGAAGTTGGACAACATTAAATAAATGGAGTTAAAATATGAAATATTTTTGTGATGCAGAACCTATGTTCTAATATCGTTAATTTTTAGCTTTTATCCGTGCAATGATTTCTAATAGATTATGATCTTTATAGTTATATTGAAATGGTATTAATATTTTTATTCTTGGCTTATGACAAGTTTCATTTATATCTCGCCTTATAATTTGTATCCAATTGGTGTTCTTGAGGATATCTTGTAGTGATTTGGACATGTTTGGTTTCTGCGAATCGTAAGATCGAGATATCAAACTACCACAAACTTAAATTTTGCTAGCCCTTGAGAACAAAGAAAGAAAACTAACTTAGAAACACGAAATTTAGGTTGGCAGTAGACTGCTGACTTCCGTGTAACCTCCATTAATGATCAAATGAGCTTCGATTAGTATGAAATTTTGACGTGTGACGAATTGGACCATATTCTAGATGATGCTAAAATAAATATGCAAACGTATACCCTCTTCCATTAGGCATCAAACCACCTGTGTTTGACTTAAAATTTTATCATGTGATCCTACACAGCAAACAGTCTAACTTAATCTTTGATACGCACAAGAAAATTTATGTTAATGAACGATGATGACCTATGACGTTACACGTTCAAAATGCATGGAAAATAAAAGAAATTAAGTCCAAACTAAGAACCCAAAAATTTTGCAACTAGTCTAATACTCAAAACAATAAATAAAGGGATAGAATAGTTACATTCCATTCAAAACAAGGGCCAGTTTAAAGTCAGTAGCTTGAATTTTTGCAAGCATCATGTAGGTTTGAGTCGGGAATTGGAAGATTTGCATTGCTTGCAAGTGCTAGATTTGCAGGATATCTCTTTCGCTCTCCGAACTTAAATTCAAATTTTTTCATCCTCTTGTTCTCTATCGGTCTATCTACTTTCAGTTCGCAATCTCTCTCCCACTTATCTTCGCTAGTTGAGCTAAAGTTTTTTGACTTTGATGGACATTACCTAGAACACCTCGACAGCATTTTGTTCCCTATGTTCACTTACAAACTGAAAAAATTAAATGCGTAGTTTTAGCATTCAACATATATTCTTGAATAATCTCATTTTCCAATTATTCAACCATTTCATTTTACAAAATAGTGCTAGCCAAATTAATCAATTTGCTTCTAGTGTATGCTTGATGCTTTGCAAGACAACGAAAGTGACACATTCTTCCTCAAAATTAGCTAAAATTGGTCGACTAATGATGATTAGCATGCTTTTAATCTCTTCAAAGTCAATGACCAAGAAATCTGCCAAAAAGATAAAATTGTCAACTTCTATTAAAGCGTTTTCAATTACTCCAAGTGGATCTTTTCTCGACTGTTCTATCAGATGAACTAAAACTATAGTAAGCTTAGGATATCCCAATCCTAATTTCCTTTTGATAGATGGAGGAATTAATCAAAATTAGAGAAATGTATTGGATCCTTGATCTTTGGTGGCAATTTATTTTGTAAAATTGCACAGCTTTTGCTGTGGTGTAACCCAAATTCATTGTAATTGTTTGATAGGATAAAAGAAGTCTAAGGAGATTTGATTTGATAGTCCTAATTGATAAAAATAAAGTTTCCTCAAGGATTGAGAGTTGGTCGGGAAAAGAACTTTGAGATGAAAAACAAGTCTTTGGAGGCATTATTTATCAAAAGTGGGCACCGCAGCACCATGTTGGGACATCACAGCGCTCGTAGAAGAAAAACTAGGTAGGGAGGCACCAACGGCAAAGAATATGCCCCGGCATCGGGGTGGTGCATTGGTGGAGTTTATTTAGATATTTCCAAATTTTATGTTTTCTTCTTCATCTAGAACTCCAAAAAGAGGCTCCTATATATTCCACATGGTTTTATCTCTACATTATATTCAATAACATCTGGAGAGCTAGAGGGCTTAGATTTCAAGTGAGAATATTGAGATCTTGATATTGTGATCACATTCATTATTGATTATAATGAAATTCTCCTTCTCTACTTGTGATTTTTCCTATCTTAGATTTCCACAAAAATCATTGTGTTCTATTTTTTTTTTTAATTTCATTATTGTTATTATCTTGCGATCAATTCAAAACAGCTTTCTTTGGTTGAAACAACTATCTTATGAACTTGTGGTAAAGATGCATTATGCCACGGCTTTTGTGAACTAGATATTAATGTGCATTTTGTTAAAAAAATAAATTGCAAACTACTTATCTTCTTCTTTTTATCCAACCCTTTGAGAGAATGACATGGATGGAATGTATGCTTTAATAGGAACGGCTGAATTTGCCTATGGAATGTCCAAATTTTCTTTCAAAACTGCATCTTTTATATGTCCGACCATTCCACTTATTCCTCATCTTCGGTAGGCATAATTTTCTTATTGCAATCGATTTCTTAATAGTTTCTTAATAGGAGTCTCTAGCAATAGTTCGACTCTACATCTTGTAATGATGGCATTCACATGTTCCCTTGGATTCATTTCAATACAGCTTGTTTTCTGATTAATCGCTCACCCTTAGTTGCCAATGAGAAAAAGACACCACAAAAGGTATGGTCTGGTAAACCTCCTTATTATTTTGATTTGCAAGTGTGGATAATGGAAAGTTGGGCCTAGGTCTAAAAAGTGCATTTTTGTTGAGTATAAATCAGGTGTACATGGGTATAAATTGTGGTGTCCTAAGACACGAAATGTGGTGTTTAGTAGAGATGTGGTGTTTGATAAATTTGAAAGTGTTCATGGTTCACTTCGTGGGGATTCTGGAAAAATTGAAGAACGGGATCATTCAACTCGAGTGGAGTTGGAAATTGGTATAAGAGAACAGTCAGAGGTTTCATAACAGTTTACTTCATATCAGTCTAGTTCAAAGCAAATAGACAATAATACTTTGCCTACTTTACCTACATCACCAGCAACACTATAGTACTCCATTGTTAATGATAGATCTCCAAAGAAGTAAAGAGAAGTATATTTAGCAACTCATGTATGGAGTGCGGCTGACAGTATTGTTTCCACTGAGGAGCCTACTACATATTTAAAGGTAGTTAGTTGTAGTG